ATAGTCAGTAATTATGTAATTTCTTTATATGGTGACAGATGACAGACTTATCTTGCTCATTTTGAAATGTATAGAAGTATCAAATCACTGTTGTATACCAGGAACTAACCTAGTTTTACAGGTCAATTATACTTCAAAAACAAACAAACCTTATAGAAAAAGAGATCAGATTTGTGGTTAACCAGAGGAGGGGGTGGGAGAAAGGGAAAGTGGATGAAGGTAGTCAAAATGTGAAAATTTGCAGTTGTAAGATAAATACTAGAGGTGTTATGTACCATGTGATAAATATAATTAACACTGCTATACGATATATAAATTGAGAATAATCCTGAGAGTTCTCTTCATAAGAAAAAAATAATTTCCTCTATATGTTTCATGTTGTATTTGTATGAGGGGATGAATGTTCACTAAACAATGTGATAATCATTTCATGGTGCAAGTCATTATGCCATACACCTTAACCTTAAGACAGTGCATGAATGTGCTCAGTCGCTAGTGCTGTATGTCAATTATATCTCAATAAAACTGGAAGAAAAAAGTTACTACTTCCATTAAGTGTTACTGTTAAATTTAAATGGGATAGCAAAGGTTAAGTCCCTGGAGATTAGTAGGTTCTTGGTCCATTATTGTTATTCCTCTTATCTTTCCATGTTTTCCAATGTTTTAAAGTGGACAAACTATACATTTTTTTCTTGTGTCATTAAAAGTTAGAACCACTGGAAACAGACTGGAACAACAGACTAGAGGCTTGTAAAGAAGGTGGTGTTGATCCTGGTGTCATTATTTTGCATCCCCTTTCCCTTTCAGAAGTGGAGGATACATTATATAATCCCTCTATTTGAGGAATGCAGAACCTTTAAATGTTCTCATAGGACTCTATAGTGCTCCTGGGTGTGTTTTGCTGAGAGTAGTATTTTAGGTTGGGAAATAGGATGGTGTTCCAGTGAGATTAAAAGAATATCCAGGTTAACTTCCAGTTTTAAATTCTGCCATGAAGTTGAGAAAGATAAATAACATTGAGGATGGGAAGACAGACCCTTCCATAGTGAAGTTTTCTGTCCTGGTTAGGGGCGCAGTGTTATGTATGGTTTCCTGTTATAGGCCAGGGGGAGTCCTATTAGGTAAAGTATGTTGCAAACTCTATTCAAGTGTATAGTCCTTTCATATGTATTATTCCATTTGAATCTCAACATATTCTCTGGTGTTTTTTTTTAATAGGAAAATAGCTAGTAAGTGATCTGGGACTAAAACTCATATATCCTCATATTCTTTCGCTTATGACACAGATCTGGGAGCCTTCTCTGTTCTTGAGGTAAGGCTTTTACTGACAAGGAAAAAAAGTGAGTTTAGGTGGTTTCCTGGAGTGAACTACATGGTTACTTTTTCAGGAGATCAATTAACTTTGCTATATAAGGTGTCTTTGCTATATAAGGCATTGAGAAGATGTAGGGTTTTGGACTGAAAACGAATCCTTGTTCGTTTCCAAGATGGAATAGTAACTGGCTGACTACTGTCAGATTCGGGTATGTGCCCCAGGTGGCGCTAGTGGTAAAGAACCCCGCCTGTCAGTGCAGGAGTCATGGGTTTGATCCCTGGGTCTGGAATATCCCCTAGCGGAGGGCATGACAACCCACTCCAGTATTCTTGCCTGGAGAATCCCATGGACAGAGGAGCCTGGCAGGCTACAGTCCTTAGGGTCACAAAGAGTCGGACATGACTAAAGCAACTTAGCACTCACAGCATGCATTTTTCTTGACGCTAGAAATTTAATTTCTTTCTCTTTCACTCAGAAAACACAATAAAGCAAAGGGAAGGAAAGCTGTGGGCAGAACTGTTAAAAGAGGTTCTTCAAGGGGTTGACCTGATAGCATCTGAAGCTGTTACTTAGTACCTTACTCACACTGCAACTTCTAAATCAAGGATTACAGAATGGAATTTAAGAATTGAAAGAAAAAATAAGAGCTTATGGCTAATTGCTCTTTCAAGTCTTTTTTTATGAATATATAGTCTTTGGAGAAAAGTCTTATAAATAATTCTTTTATCTCAATGCCAGGCAATATTTCATTTTGATCTAGGAATCCAGGGTTTGGCTATGTATTTCTTTTTGAAAAATGTTAGCATTTTTTGCTGCTGAATTAAGTAACTACTTAAAGAAAAAAATCCCTACACAGCTCTTTCCTGCTGTCCTAAAACCATATCAAGACCCCACATAGCTGAGAAAAGGAAATTGTACCCTAAGGCTTAACACAGAAGTCATCAAGGCTGTTCTCTGTGAAAGCTCAGCTGTCAGCAGCCTGGAAATTAGGACTGTAGGGAATGTTGAAATTTAAAGTTCGTTTTTAACATGAAGGGGGTTCACACAGTGCTACTTTGAGGGCTAATCTTTAGTGACAGATGCAGAGAAAGTAGCCTGAAGTGTTATTAGGAGAACCCAAGCCTTCCATCCTAAAAGCCCCGTTGACTTTCATTTTAGGTGTCAGCCAATCATTGCCAAGAACACGTCTGAAGAGACTGATCCCAGCTATTTCAAAGGGCTATCTTTTGTGCAAGGTTCTTAGAGAATCATGTTGTGTTATACTTTGTGGTATGTATTATGTATACCATAATGACCACAGATATCAATGATCTAATGATTTTTTTTTCCAAGTTAAGCATAGACTTGTGGAAAGAAAGCTCATATTGTTGGGAGACTATCCTTGTTACAGTGAATTAGATATTGCCATTAACTAGATAAATTGTTTAAACTTGTTTCAATTTTCACATCTGTAAATGGAGCTTCTAATAACTTCTCTATATACTTTGTGGGGATGTTTTCGTGGTCCACTGGATGATTTGATGTCAGATCCTTTGAGAAACTAGCTTAGCCTCTTTCTATCCTACATTGCTGATGATTTTCCTCATTCATCATTGCATTTTTACTTACAGTTTGTCCATTTAGATATTTTACATTTTTATGTAATCAAATATGTTATTTTTTTAGGCTTTTGAAGTTAGTGTCAGATTTAGGACATTAGCTTATAATGTGTGATGTAATGATGCTTAAAATGTGAAAGTAGTGTCTTTTTTTTTTCTTTTTTTAGTAGTGTCTATTTTAAAGCCACTTTCTCATGCATAGGAGGGATGTGTTGTTTATTTACATGTTCTTTGGATTATGGAGCTTTACAGTGAAGGGGCCACATTATTCCAATTCATATTATTGCCAAATTACCCTTGGTAGTATAATAATAATCTATTGCAGTGTAACAGAGCCTTCCAAAACTTAGTTCCTTATAATACCAACAGTCATCTATTATCTCTCATGGTTTCTGTGGTTCAGGAGTTCTGAAGTGGCTTGGCTGGGAGATTCTGTATGAGGGTTTCTAGTGACATTGTAGCCTGCTGTTGGCCAGGGCTGCAGTGATCTGAAGGCCTGACGGAGGCTGGAGGATTGATGTCTAAGGTGACTCACATAGCTGCCAGCTGGTGCTGGCAAGTTGGTCCCTCTTCATGGAATTTCACTATACTTTTAAACTTAGAAAACTGGAAAGCCAGATACTTAGCACTGGGGTTTATCCACAGTCCTGTTAACCTTACAGTCAGATAGAAATGAGATGGATGAGGTTTTGCAGACTGTTGGCTGGGAAAGAGCCCTCCACGTAGATGGTGTCCAAGAGCGCACTGATGTGGTACTTCTGGTATACTTTCTGGGACTAACTTTGTTATTCTTTTTTTTTTTTTTTTTAATTTTTAAAAAATTTTTTTAATTTTTATTAGTTGGAGGCTAATTACTTTACATCATTACAGTAGTTTTTGTTATACATTGATATGAATAACTTTGTTATTCTTGACATTCTACTTCATTAAATTTCTGTGATTCCAGATATTTTGAAGAAAATAAATCAGGAGCAAGACAATGTTTGACAGAGTAAAATAGCTGCTAATAACAGCAGTATGCTTTATTTACTGAGTGTCTGTTGCATGTCAGACTCTCTTCATAAGTTATATCTTATCTAGTCCTGCCAATAGTCACTGATGGAAGGTGATATTATCCCCATTTAAAATTTGACACAACTGACGCTCATAGTAATTCATCTAAGGTCATGTAATAGGTAGGGCTTCCCAGGTGACGCTAGTGGGAAAGAATCTGCCTGCTAATGCAGGAGATGTAAGAGATGCTGGTTTGATCTCTGGGAATATCCCATGGAGAAGGAAATGGCAGCCCGCTACAGTATTCTAGCCAGGAAAATCCCATGGACAGAGGAGCCTGGCAGGCGACAGTCCATGGGGTCGCAAAGAGTAGGACATGATTGAAGCAGCTTAGCACATGCACAGCACACGTGTAATAGGTGGTTAAGCTGAGACTTGAACCCAGGTGTGTCTTCTCTAAAGGTTGTGGTTATTCTATTACTTCTCACCATATCCCATTAATATATTAAACACACACATACAGAAAATATATAGCCGAGAGGGAGTTGAAAAACTGTCGAGTTGTGTGTTATCTGGAAGAATTTGTCAAGGGTAAAAGAGCTAGGAAAATGTTAATTCCAGGCACGCGGCCCCGCCCCGGGGCACGTTGGGCCTGGGGCCGAGGTTTTCCGCCCAGCGGGCTCCTCCTCCGGCTCCTCCCTGACGGCCGAGGAGCCTGCGGGTCGCCAGTTCCCCGAGTGCTCCGAGTGTGGGAGTGGGACAAGACTTGAGTCCGGTGGGAGGTGCCGCGCCTGGGACGCCCGGAGAGAGAGCTGCTGCTGCCCGCCCGCGTCCCACTTCTCCCCTCGCGGCTCCCCACTGCCCCTTGGCCAGATCTAGCCATGAGCTACCCAGGCTATCCCCCGCCCGCAGGTGGCTACCCACCAGGGGGCGGTGCCTGGGGAGGTGCTGGCTACCCGCCACCCACCATGCCTCCCATCGGGCTGGGTAATGTGAACAACTACGCAGGGCAGTTCAACCAGGACTACCTCTCAGGAGTGGCAGCCAACATGTCCGGGACGTTTGGAGGAGCCAACGTGCCAAACCTGTACCCAGGGGCCCCTGTGCCAGGCCAGCCCATGTTGCCGCCTGGGCAGTAGCCCCCGGGGGCCTACCCTGGACAGCCGCCCATGACCTACCCTGGACAGTCACCAATGCCACCTCCTGGGCAGCAGCCTGTGCCAAGCTATCCAGGGTACTCAGGTTCTGGGACTGTCACCCCTGCCGTGTCCCCAGCCCAGTTTGGAAACCGAGGCACCATCACAGATGCATCTGGCTTTGACCCACTGCGAGATGCTGAGGTCCTGCTGAAGGCCATGAAAGGCTTTGGGACTGACGAGCAGGCCATCATTGACTGCCTGGGCAGTCGCTCCAACAAGCAACGGCAGCAGATCCTCCTGTCCTTCAAGACAGCATATGGGAAGGATTTGAGCAAAGATCTGAAATCTGAACTGTCAGGAAACTTTGAGAAGACAATCTTGGCCCTGATGAAGACGCCTGTCCTCTTTGATGCTTATGAGATAAAGGAAGCTATCAAGGGGGCGGGCACTGATGAAGTCTGCCTGATTGAGATCCTCGCCTCCCGCAGCAATGAGCACATCCGGGAACTGAACAGACTCTACAAGACAGAATTCAACAAGACTCTGGAGGAGGCCATTCGGAGCGACACGTCAGGGCACTTCCAGCGGCTCCTCATCTCTCTCTCTCAGGGGAACCGGGATGAAAGCACGAACGTGGACATGACTCTCGTCCAGAGAGATGCGCAGGAGCGCTATGCAGCTGGGGAGAACCGCCTGGGAACAGATGAATCCAAGTTCAGTGCAATTCTGTGCTCCCGGAGCCGGACCCACCTGGTGGCAGTTTTTAATGAGTATCAGAGAATGACAGGACGTGACATTGAGAAGAGCATCTGCCGGGAGATGTCCGGGGACTTGGAGCAAGGCATGCTGGCTGTGATGAAATGTCTTAAGAATACCCCAGCCTTCTTTGCTGAGAGGCTCAACAAGGCCATGAGGGGAGCAGGAACCAAAGACCGGACCCTGATCCGCATCATGGTGTCTCGCAGCGAGATCGACCTCCTGGACATCAGAGCGGAGTATAAGCGGCTGTATGGCAAGTCGCTGTACCACGATATCACGGGAGACACTTCAGGGGATTACCGGAAGATTCTGCTGAAGATCTGTGGTGGCAACGACTGGGCAGTGGCTGGTGGGTCACTTCTCTCCACCTGCTGGCAACAGCAATGCCAGGAAAAGGCCAAAAGGACGTTTGTCTGTTTCTAACAAATCTACAAAACCGCCCCCAGGTGTCACCTTTCAGAGCAGCCGTAGAGCCGGGGCCCCAGCTCCTCCCCCACCCTCTCGATCCGTGCACTGTGCTTGAGCCGAACCTGGCCAGTCTCTCGGGACGCCTCCTGCCCATCCCCACCCCTCACAGCCTCTTGCAGCTGAAGTAGATGTTTTGTTTCCTGACTCATGCAGTCATTCCCCTTTGCTTATGGCTGAAACTCTTGGCTTCCTTTTAGTCATGTAATTTCGTATGTTTAGAAGGTGTTTTTTTTTTTTTTAATATATAGTTGCAGACAGTTGCATACACGTCTTTGCTGCATACAAAGTTTGGGTGAAAGAGGTGGGGGTTGGAGTGCCTGTCTTCACGGAGGAGTAAAAGGGAAAACCGTTAAGGGTACACGCTCTGCATCTGGTGAAAATGTGTCATGAGCTTTGTTATTGCCAAACTCACTCCTTTTTAGAAAAGAAAAGGCCAGAAAGTCATCTGTTCTTTCTTCCACGCAAACCACAAGAACAAAGCCAGCTCCCTGCCAGTGACAGGGCTTCTTGTAATTGAGAATGTGCCTTAAACCTGAATGTCGATGGCCAAATGCTATTTCCAAATTAAAGTCACCCAGCTCTGGAAAAAAAAAAAAAAGAAAATGTAATTCCAGATACAAAAGCACTTTGAAAAAGAAAAGTGCTTTATAAATGTAAGGTGGCAGTGTTATTAATATTATTCAGCTTGGAGAAATAAGAAAATGAATCATGTATAATTTCTCTATTTCTTCTTCAGTGAAGTTATAGAGGAACACCTGCCCATTAATCCTTACCCTGTTAAAACAATAACTGCCTATGCAGGTAATACATTGGAATTAATGTGTAATTAAAGAAAATTATCATCCACTTGGCTATGAAATAGGAATGGCAGTATTTCAAGTTGATATATATTCTAGACCAATAAATTTTTTAGACTAGGAAACTCTGCTAAAATGTGTAATTCAGGAAGATATCAAATCATCAGTTTAAAATTAAAGCATAAAGAGCTTTATGCCTGTAAAAGCATTTTCTTGTAATGTTGATATGGTGTCATATTTGTCTTCAGCACAAAGACATTGCCTTTTTGACAACTGCTATTTAAAGAAAATACACCTTGGGATTGGGGATAGCATGTTTCTCTTGGATTTCTCCTCTCTCAGCATGTTTGTTGGTGGCATTAGCACATTAATAGTGAACTGAGATGATAGTCTTCGGGTGGGGGATGATATGTAACCCACGTTACAGCACCTTGGCACCCAGCCCACAGACACCAGCAGCTAGAGCCCTGATTTCATTGTGAAAGGAGTTAGAAGAATTTGAAGAAGGTCATGGCCATCAATCTGTTATCACTCTGCTAGATAGAATCTCTTTAAGGAGGAGTGTGAAACATATTTTAAAACATCCGATGAAGGCCCCCAAATGACGATGTTCATCTTACTGGTTTCTAATGAAACTGCTCAGTCTCTGAAACAGAACTCACAAGGCCTGCCCCACAGAATTTGAGAAAAAGCCTTCACTTTACGTTGTCCCAGCTAGAGTCAGCATATACAGTCACTGTATACAGTGAGGTGGGTTGTTATTGTTCAGTTGCCAAGTCATGTACAACTGTTTGTGACCCTGTGGACTGCAGCATGCCAGGCTTCCTTGTCCCTCACCATTTCCCAGATTTTGCCCAAGTTCATGTCCATTGAATCAGTGATGCCATTCAACCGTCTCATCCTCTGTTGCCTTCCTCCTCTTCTGAGAAGGTACAGGAAAGCAAAAAAAATTTTTCAGTCCTTAGGATTCATTGACTTTGCATTCTTGTGAGTGGGACAGTAGTCAATCCTGTTGCAGAGGGAAAAAAATGGAGCCTGAAGTTCATTGTTCTGCTCAAGGTTGTTTGTTGATTGGAGAGCAGGATAGAGTCTGGAGGAGTAGAGGATAGAGGATAGAGTCTGATCTCCCAGAATGCTCCTCTCTTGTCACCAGGTGTAGCCATGAATCTCTGAGTATTATGCCCTTTGTTTTTCTTCTAAGGATATTTCATAGAAGAAATAGGATTTGAATCCTTCAACATGGGATTTAGTTTTGTGAAATTTTATCGAATGTTTATGTGTGTGTTCAGGCGTGTCTGACTCTTTGTGACCCCATGGACTGTAGCCCACCAGGCTCCTCTGTCTGTGGAATTTTCCAGGCAGGAATACTGGAATGTTGTTGCTATTTTCTCCTCCAGAGGATCTTCCCAAGCCAGGGATCAAACTCACATCTCCTGCATTAGCAGGCGGATTCTTTAACTCTGCTCCACCTATGAATGTCTAGGCGAATGCATATTTGTTCGTACATAATTAGAATTCAGATGTTCAAATCTGTTTTTCTTACTGTTGTTTGCTACTGCAAAATCTTAATTATAATCATATATCATGGTAACATCATAATCCATCAAGTTCATTTATCATAATTCAACTGTTGCATTACTATTAGACATCTAAGGTTGTTTCCAAAATTTCCTCTGCTCTAGATGAAAATGTAATCAACTTTGTCATGAGTATAGCTTTTTTCTCCCCTAAATTCCTGTTTTTCTTAAGCTGAAATTTTCACTATGAACTTAGAAGGTCAAGGCCTGTTTTACAGTTTATTTGATTATCTTCCTAATAGATGGTGAGTGCTTTTCTCATAGATGATGTGATTTTTTTTTAATCTTAATTTTTGAGAGTCTAATCTTCACCTAGAGGTTCATATAGTACTGATTTGTCTGACCAGATTTAATGATTGTATCGGTAATGATCCCAGCAGGACACACGAAATTCACCTCATTGGTTCGAATGAAGAGAATTAAGTGAAGGGCGGCTCATAGAAGTGTGTGTGAGGTGAGAGAACCAACAAGAAACTAGAGCAGTGGGAAACTGTGGCCAGCCCTGGACTGAAAATGTTTTGTGAGCACTTAGAGCTGCAGTGAAGGAAGCGAATGCCTGCGGGGTCTGTGGAGGGATGCAGTTTCCAGCAGCGGTGATGAGCATGTGGGGAGTGGAATGAAGCACCGCAGCTTCCCTCACCTCCCTTGCTCTCATCTCCTACCAGGGCTTCCATTGGCCCAACCCAGCCAGAAGTCAGCTGATGCAGGAACCGGGGTGTTTCAGTTTACAGGGGTTGCCCTCCCAGGCCACAGAGCAATGTAAACAGTGGATCTCAGGCTAGTGGAGGCAAAGATGCAGATGATGAGAAACTAAAACAATGGTGGGAACTTTCTCTCAGTGGCACTACAGGGCCTATTTTGTAAAATCTCAAGTTTGGATTATGTTTCATATCTCTCTAAACTATCGTTTTATGGAGAACAGTATGGAGGTTCCTTAAAAAACTAAAAAGAGAACTACCAACTGGGACCCAGCAATCCCACTACTAGGCATATACCCAGAGAAAACCATAGTCCAAAACATGTACCCCCGGTGTTCATTACAACACTATTTACAATAGCCAGGGCATGGAAGTAACCTAAATGTCCATCAGCAGAGGAATGGATAAAGAAGATGTGATCTGTATAGACAGTGGGATATTAGCCACAAGAAAGAATGAAATTGGGTCATTTGTAGAGATGTGGATGGACCTAGAGACTGTCATACAGAGTGAAGTAAGTCAGAAAGAGAAAAACAAGTATTGTATTTTAACACATATGTGGAATCCAGAAAAATGCTATGAGCTACCAGGAAAGCCCAGAAAAATGGTACAGATGAACCTATTTCCAAGGAAGGAGTAGAGACGCAGACGTCGAGAACAAACCAATGGACAGAAGGGAAGGGGAGGTTGGGATTGATATATATACACTACTATGTATAAAAAACTAACTAATGAGAACCTACTGTATAGCACAGGGAACTCAGTGTTCTGTGGTGAGATAAATGGAAGGTAAATCCAAGAAAGAGGGGACATATGTGTACATATAGCCGATTGACTTTGCTAGAAAGTGAATGGTAGAAACGAACACAACATTGTAAAGAAACTATATTCCAATAAAAATTAATCAAAAAAATAAACTGTAGTCTCTGAGAAAGCTCTTAAATACTTCATTTTCTTTATTATGAAAACTAAGACACAGTGAGAGAGCATGGGGCCTCAGAAAGGGCACTCGGCACTTGTGGGGACAAGTCACATCTCTGCTGGCCTCTGTGTTTGCTACTTGGCAATTTTTGTTATTATCGTATGTCAACTCTGATTTTTTCCTATATCCTAGCTGTTCCACATCTCCTTCAGCACCTGACCTCACCTCTCATGCTCTGATCCAAGCATGTTCTTAGTTTCAAGGACACATTAAGGGCAGATTATTTGTAAGAACTTGGTCACAGCATTCCACAGGGCATTTCTTACATTGGAAGGTGAGTCTGAGCATTTGTAGACCTTGGGGGTTTGTGAGTCTTCCATAAGAATTTTAGAATGTGGCTTCACTTTGGATGGCAGTAAAAATTTAGACATAATTCTATGTTTTTGGATCTTACAACTAAGCCCTGTGACATGATTTTTGTGTCTCTGCCTGCCTTTAGGTTTTTGGTTTGTGTTCAAATTAGCGTCAAGTCAAACCAAAATAAATGTAGAGGGCTCCTAAGAAAAGTCAGAGTTGAATTAATCTGATGACAAAGTACTATTCATATTTAAAGACCAAATGCTGACGGAGCAGGTTGATGAAGAAAGGTTTCACAGTAGTTCCAGTGGGGAAAGTGGTGGGAGAATACAGTCATTGCATTGAATGTGGAGGTAAATGCTTGCTGAGCTCAAAAGGGCCCCATGCTACAGCACTCTGACCAGCACCACATAAGTCTTCATTTGGGCAGCAGCGTGGTTTCAGCAGAACATCATATAGTATGTTTTATTCATACTATTTGGAATGCTATTGGTTTTATTTATGTACTTAGAAATTTTTATTGAAGTATAGTTGATTTACAATGTTGCATTAGTTTCTGGTGTGTATATAAATATACGAATTCCTCTGCTGTAAATAGACTATACACTATATATAGTATATAGAATATGTAGTATCTATACTATCACACACATATATAATTCTTTTTCAGCTTCTTTTCCATTATAGTTGATTGCAACATACTGAATATAGTTCCTTGTGATACACAGTAGGTCCCTGATGTTTGTCTTTTTTATGTAGTTTGTTAATGCCAAACTTCTAATTTATCCCTACCTCCTCTTGCCCTTTCCCCTTTGGTAACCATAAGTATTTTCTATGTCTCTGAGTCTATTTCCATTTGGTAAATAAGTTCATTTGTATCAATTTTTTTAGATTCTGCATATAAGTGATATCATATGATACTTATCTTCGTATACTTAATATGATAATCTCTGAGTCCATCCATGTTGCTATAAAGGATATTATTTTGTTATTTTTTATGGATGAGTAATAGTCCAGTGTGTGTGTGTGTATAGATATATATATCCACCACATCTTCTTTATTACTCTGTTGACAGGCATTTATTATAGGGAGCTTCCATATCTTGACTGTTTTAAACAGTGCTTGGGTGCTAATGGTTTTGTAGTTGGGTTGTATTCATTTCTACATGCGCTTTGGTTTGTATTGGTTAAAGGTGATACATCTTAAGATTTTGTCCTTGGTTTTATTTTGGTGG